ATTGCAGTTTTAAATGATAAAGATAAAAAATATTGTTTTCTTTATTTCATATTATTCGAATAATATGTTTTATGTGATCGCATTTTAAAAAGTTATTTTTAAATTTTTGAAACATTTTGCAATTTAATCTTTTAAAAAATGTTAATGCTTTTTTGTTATTTACACACACTCAGAAGTTTCGTAAATAGGGTAGTGTTCTTTTTCAAGCAACAATTAAAATTAAAATCAATAACCCAATTAAAGTTATATTTGTATAATTAATTCATCTTTATTCCTACGTTTGTCTTTTTAGTATTTGTAATAAATTAGTATGATCTATATCATGTCATTTCCATACAATGAAATAGGACGAAATAAAAATATTTAAAATATTCTTTCAAATAATTTATTAATGCTTTGAGACTTGGTAAATATTAAATACTGTTTTAAAATAAAAAATAAATTTTAAAAAATATCGTTACATCTTTTGAGAATTTAAACTAACCTACAGTGTGTGTTGGATCAGATTTAACATTTGACAAAGTAGAAGTTTTAGTATATAATTTATTCTTCTAGATAAAAACATTAAAAATATATATTCTTTGAAGAGTTTTCTTTTTCTTAATGAAATATCTATGCTCTGACATTATTTATCTACAGCAGAAGAGTCTTCACAGCTAAACATGGAAAGATGCACCACAGTCTTCAAGTAGACTTTCTCAAAACATTTTCCTTAACCATTCGCGTTTTTAGGCTCTGTCAACAGCTTCAAAACTTTCACTAACATTTCATGGTAATCAAAATATTCAAATATGGTTCTATCCTCTCTCTCATTACAATTGCATTTAAATAGTAAATCCTATGCATATATATTACGGTTCCTTCCGCACACAAGAATTTTTGAAGGGGGTCGACGTTGAAAGTCCACCATTCTCATATCATACCCCTATACCCCGCCAAACCCATCTTTTGCTTTTGTCGGGAACAAAAACAGTACAAAATAAACTATTGAGTAAATAATTAGCATTAATTAATAAAATAAATTATTAATAATAATGTTATCTTTGTTTGGAGTTATTTTATGTGCTATGCACATTGAATTATGATCAATCGAAAAAAATGAAGGGTGATGACGGGGTAGGGTCCGAACCCCTCCTCCCCTGGTTCCTTTACAATATAACGTTATCATACTAAGCAACGTAATAAAGTAACTCCAGAGGATAGTTACGGCAGTGTTTCTCAACTGTGCGGCGCTCCCCCCTAGGGGCGTGATAACCCTACGAGGGGGGTGCGAGAATATTGAAAAATCGAAAACAAAAGATTATTTAAAAAAATTATTGATTTATTGAATGTGTAAACAAACAAAAAATACATTCTGACATGATAAAAAAGTAAAGTATACACTTACACTGAAATAATACAATTATAAATATATTAGTACTGCGCGCAATTTATTTTATAATTAATTTAACAATACTAAGAAAAAGTTTAATAATTACCATTGGGCCCATGGACTTGTCATATATAAAATTATATGCAAAAATTAACACATCTTAAAAACTTGTTTGGTTTATAATTAATCCTTTAAATGCCGATTAATAATTACGCGTTTTGCTCCACAACACCACCGTTTAACAAGTAAGCAAGCGAATGTGGTGTATGGGGGGATAGAAAAGGAATAAATAAGCAAATCCTCTGAAATAATTAAAGTCTTTCGCAAACACATTGTCAAGGTTATTTTATTACATTCCAAAGCTTTCGGAATATAATTTTATGAATAGATATTCGCAGATAAAATCGTACTTCGGAAAGACGTATATGTACGTCCGGGTCAATTGACACTGAGTGAGACGTTTATTTATGCCGGCAGCACTTAATAGGTTAAAGTCGTATTGTAGTCGTATTGTTGTCAAAGTGTAGTATTATTGAATTTAATACATCGTTATTATATAGAGAAGGGGGGACGATGAAAATGATGATTGAATATTGGGTCGCTAATATTGAAAGTTTAAGAAGCACTGAGTTACGGGAAGAATCCCCACGCTTCTTGATACAATAAAACTCATCTAATATCTTACATATATTGTATTAAGTATTAAATCTAAATAAGAGTTTTCCTTAAATTGTAAGTACATTTATGATTAAATAACGCATTGTGAAATATTTGTTAAAATATTGCACTAAATTTCTAAGGTTTCAACAAATATTTCCTATCCATCTAATCAAAATGCTCTTTTATTATGCTTATCTGTTTACTCATTTTCAAAACTCAAAATTTTGGTTTTAGATTTGTTACGATTTCCTCATCTCGCTAAATTTAAAGTAAAAAATATGTTTCTTTTTTTAAAAAATATTAAACATTTTTTTCTTGCCTTGAAAAAATAACGATTTGTAAATATCCATTTAAATCTGATTCATTATTTCACGAAAAGGCAAAATAGGCGTAAAAAGTAACTTATATCCCATCATTTTAGATATTTAGTACTATTTGTATTTATCCCATAGATTTTAAATCTTCCTTATACCTCTGAATAATAAATATATAGTATAAATATGAGGTCTGAAAAAGTTTAGAATTTTTATAACATTTCTAAATATCCTATACGTGCGAAGAATATCTGAAACATGATTATTCCTTTGTCGTATTTTATGCATGTATATTTTTAATTATTTATGTTATTTAGCAATTACAGGATATTTGTTTCAATTATTTACTGTTATTAGTTCGATATACTCTTAAATCCAATACGACATTGTCGAATTTTGAAATATTTTCTCTACTATGAAGAATAAAGCCCAAATAAAAAGAAGCCATTTTTGTATCGGAGACAAAAATGGCAATTCATGGTGGCCTTGCAAATCATTACAATTGCATTACTTTTTAAGTCATATATCTCAGTAAATCAATATAACGTAATCAGTTGTGATTTAATGATATTGTAGATTGCAAGTTAAGTTATCAATGATTTAGTTAATGTATCCATCAATAAATTCCAGGATAGTTAATCTTTTTACAAATATCATTATTAACTTTAAAAATAATTCTTTTGTTTCATCAGCAAAACTTTAAGCGCAAAACATTGTGTAATTCCATTCTCCAAAACAAGTTCCTTGGCGATTTATTTGGGTGTATAAAATTCTCAAAATTCGAACGCCACTGAATCCTTGCCAGAAAAATTCTCGTTTCACGTATGATTTGAATTTACGCTTGATTCTATACCTTGTAACATTTACAGTCGTATACATTTGCACCATGTCTTTTTACGAATAAGACGCTTCTGAATGTCATGGATTATCCTTGATAATATCTTGCGAATTTTGTTACCTTTTTGAAAATGTAGTGCTTGCTTTCATAGAAAGATATGCAACGTTAGGCATACATGGACAAATATATTTTTAGAATGCATTACCCGGACAAAAATATCCTATTTCTTCAAACATGTGTTGTAGTTTGGGGTAATAGAATCGGAATATATACGTATGTAAGAAATATTTTATGTATGTGTGTAGAGAAATTCCTGGATTCCCCTCAAGTTCAGGAATTTTCTCAAGTTCTTTTTTTAAAATTTACAAATTTGTTTTTCATGTTGTAACCCTACAATAGAGTGCATTTACGATAATGGGAGATGTACCTTTTTTAAAAAACTAAAATAGTTAAGAATTTTAAACTTTGATTTACAGTGGTTCAAAATATTTTATTAAAATTAATATGTTTATCACTTTATATTTTATTTCATTTTTTTATTTGTAAACGGTAAACTATAGAGGGGAGAATGAGTTGTTGCCGTCTATAAGATATATTTCAGCCCTTTTATTAATTTTCGACGTAGATAAAGGGGCCACGGTATCCTAGTGGTCAAGTTAATGGACTTGTGGTGGCTTGTCATGAGTTCAAACCTAGTACCACTGAAGATCCACCGTGAAGAGGAAGCAGACACTATTCAATATGTCGAGATTCAAATGTCCTCCCTTTGGCATGATGTAATTGTTGTTTACGTCTTAATTCTTCTAATCTACTAATTATATTTGGAAGAAATTAATCAAGTGAATACACGGGAATTTTGCACTCTTCATTCAGGGCATATATGGAATGATTTTAAATGGGAAAAAAGAGATTTATATTTTAAAATAACTCTCTGAGCTCGGAATTGTGATTTTGAAAAAGCGTATAAATGAATAATTTTTCCGATATTTAGTGTCACTTGAATTAGAATACATATAAAACTGCTTTCCAGAATATTATTAAAAAAACTTTAACTGTGAATTTTTGAAGAAAAAAAAAGGAAAAGAAGAAGAAAGGACATTTTTTCAAGATATTTTTCTTTTATCCATCTTTAATGATTATATTTTGTCTATACATATTTAGGACTTCTTTACCGGGTCTGAACCAAGATTTTTGAAAAATTCACACCATTATGTTCAGAGTTGCGATCAATTGAAATAATAACGTATGTTTTTTGTTAAAATTTCTCTACTCTGATATGACGAAATGTGAGTAAAACTACTTCTAAATTATAGATTTCGAAAATCCTAGTTCAGCTCCTGTACAGAAAGCCTATCTATATACGAGAAAAATATCATTATTATATAAGCTGTTTTCCTATAGGAAAATATTTCATTCTTCCTTCACTTTTCGCCGAAAAATTGCACCTAAATAATATTTTCCTATAGTAATATTCTTAAAACATCTTTATATGTATATGATGATTCAACTGACAGTAAATATAAAACAAGTAATATAAAAAAAATTAAGTCAACTCCTACTTGGGTCAACAAAGAAAAATTTTCTTTTAGTTGCTTTTTATTAAATAATTACAATTAATATAAATATATACATATGACAGAACTACAATATTAGGCATCAAAATAGAAAGCAATTTTTTCCTTGAAATATTCCATTTTCCTTTCTATTATTTATTCATTTTCCTATTATTTTTGTGTTAATATTTATTCATTAATTAAATTTAACTATTATTCCAATAAAATAGTATAGTGAAAAATCACATTCTCAGAAAGTGCGCCATCCCAGGTGGGATTCGAACTCACAACCATTGAATTAGGATTCCAACGCGCTTTTCATTGTGCTACAGGGACACAACGACTGATTTTCCTTTTTTTTTTCTGCTGTTGGACTATTATTTTTGTTTGTTATTGTTTATTCATTTTTTAATTTAATTTAATTAATGAATTAATATTTGAATAAACTGTATTAACATCAAATATCATCAACTACTAGTTTAAAAAATGTATTTGAACTTCAGTGGATAAATAGAGAATATTTTATTAACGATTGAAAATTTGAACAAGATATATATAAATAAATATGTATAGGGAGAGAGTGAACTAATAGTAGGAATTGGAATATATATATATATATACTTTTTCAAAATCATGATTTAAAACGTAGCCAATCACCTTTAGTTATCTAAAGTTAAGAAGGTGAGCATCTCATATTTAGGGATGCATTTTATAATCTTTTTTTTTTTTTTGATAATATCTTCATCGATGTAGTATAGTTAAGTATTGCTTCTTTGATTATTAATCATCAAATTCATGCATATAAGAGCTAACTAATTATTCTAATAAATCCAAAAGGTACTTTAAGTCATCCATTGCTCAACACGAAATTAAACTTCGGGGTTACTCTACGCACCGTGACAGGGTATCACGTATCGTATTAATAAGGTTGCAAAGGGCCAGTTCAGTGTTTGTCAGATGCACCATGATTTGTACACTCGCGCTCCAGCCTAAGTTTGAGCCGCTCTCACGATATCCGTGATCTCAGTCAGACCATCCCGGCCCGGCATTCTAATCCAAATGTTGATTCAGCCCTCAGTGCAACAGTCCCATCCCCTCGTAGACATCAATCCCAAGCCCCCTTTTCCATCCAGGACTTTGTTTACTCTCTCACACACTCGCTCCGTCATTTAGCCGAAAGGGAATGGCAACGTATCGTAATGAGATTACTATGGAGACCTAATTGGTGCCGCATCGTCGTCGTAATTGAAGCAAGGGGAGGGCTCCTGCAAGCTCCGGATTAAGTGGCAACTGAGAAGGTTTTGGGGGATGGTAGGGGGAAGGCCAGCTTAGAAAGTCGGAAGAGATTTGGAAAGTACGTAAAAGGTTTTGCCTGCGTGTTCCGCCTGTTTTGTGTTGATGCTCGTTGGCAACAGATGGAAGAGACACTGTCGTGGGATCCTTGCAGCAAAAGATGGGGATGTTTTGTCGTGAAAGGGGATTTAGGGTCTTAGAGGTTTGTCGGTGCCTGAAGAAAAATTATATTCGGAATAAAGTTCGGAGAGGGGAATGATGAGAAATAATGTATGAAAATAACATTCTCGTTTGTGAATTAATATTGGAATCTATGTAAAAAAAAGATTTTTATCTCTTTTTTTCATGAGTGGTATATTTATATGTGAAAATAATGAGTTTTAACTATTTATTTTTAGTTTGAATGCTTTTCTGCTGTGTAGAATGTTTTTTTACTTCCTTCCTTATATAGCTTACCATTTGTAATCAAAATCTCATTTTACATTAACTCTTTTTATGGCCATTTTTTTCTAGTAATGATGTGTTGAAGTACTTGGGATTGATAGAAATCAATAAAAAGAAATTCATTTGACTTATTTAAAATTTATTTCATTTTTAAGACCATTTTGTGTGTGTTGTGTGTGTGTGTTTTTTTGTGTGTGTGTGTGTGTTTTGTGTGTGTTTGTGTGTGTGTTTTTTGTGTGTGTGTTTTTGTGTGTGTGTGTTTTTGTGTGTTATGTGTGTTTTTGTGCGTGCGTGTGTTTGCGTGAGTGTGTGCGTCCGTTTGTGTGTGTTATGTGTGTTTTGTGTGCGTGCGTGAGTGTGTGCGTCCGTGTGTGCGTGCGTACGCGCGCGTGTGTGTTTAAATTTTTACAATTAATTCACAGTCTCCCTATATATATGTTTATTTATATATATATATTGCTGAAATTATATAAAATTATCGTTAGTAAAATACTTTTTATTCATCAACTCAATTTCAAATATGTTTTTTTTAAACTTGTAGTTAGTAGTAACACTTGATGTTAATACAGTTTTTTTTCAAATATAAATTCATTAAATAAATTAATAAATAGTAAGAAACAAAAATAATAGCCCAACGGCATATATAGAAATGAAGATTGTTCGTTGGGTTCCTGCAGCGCAATGGATAGCGCGCGTTGGACTTCTAATGCGAAGGTCGTGGGTTCGAATCCCAACTAGTATGGCCTAATTTCTGAGAATGGAATTCCTTTTTTACTATACTATTTTAATAGAATAATTAAATATAATTAATTAATAAATAGTAACAAACAAAAAATAGTCCAACACCCTATATAGAAATGAAAATGGAAAAATGTAAGGAAAATCGCTTTCTCTATTTTGTCACTTAATGTGATTCTGTCACATGTATATACATATTTGTATTAATTGTATTTATTTAATATAAAGTAACTAAAATAAAAAATTTTCTTCGTTGATCTAATTAGGAATTAACTTAATTTTTTTTATGTTACTTGTTTTCAATTAACTAAAAAAATATATAAAAAAATAAAAATGATTAAGGACTTTTTTCCCACGAAAAATTTATAATACATATGATGTATTATATATTTTAATTCATTTCAGCGTTTTACTCGTTTCCTATGAATGCAAATTGTTTGAGAAATTAATTTCTTCTTTGAAAGTTTAAACAAATATATTCAGTTTAATACCGATGAAAAGTGTTTACTTTTTAGCTGATTTCGAACATTTCAATTGCTTAATTTAGGATTAATTTAAATTGTAAATCATCTTCTCTAAATTAAAAGGCAAGTTTTTTTATATAAGATCTATTATTTTGTTATTTTTTTGATAATATATACATGATTACGTTTTGAAGAAATGCATTATTTTTCCATTACCGTTTTGTAATCACTGGGATAATAATAAATGGAATAGTTATTCCCTTATCTTTTCATAGAATTGTTTATCCAATTTATACGAAAATTTTTATCTTTCGCTCCCGTCATTATACTCCTCGTTAAAATAACTAAATAAATTTCAAATTTTTATATAATATCTGCTATCTGCATGCTTTTGTTAATATTTTTAGGAATTTAAGGTATCCATCCGATTATACTTGCGACAACTTTTTTCTGAAAAATTAGAGATATGGAGATTTTTTTATGGTTTTTAGATTTTTTTAGTACATTTTAAGAAAGATATGTGAAAATTAAGAAAAGAAAAAAAATTATTAGTACTAAAGACGGAAAAAATGGGTAAAAATTTACAAAAAATTACATAAACGGAACCCATTCTGTACAACTTTTAAATTTTTCTGTGTTGCTTTGCTATTCATTTTTGAAATGACCTTCAGGATAAAAGATATTTTAACTTTTACAAAAATTAGAGCTCCTTATCTTAGTTATTATATGAAATAGCTTAAAAAATAGTGATTATATTTCACATACGAGACTTAAATTTTGTAATAAAACTGATTGACAAATATGAAGGTTAAAGAACTTCTTCTGTTATACAGAACACACACAAAGAATTTCAGTTAATTATTTTCAAAACGTTTTGAGCAATCACTCTCTCCGTTTGATCATTTTCAAAAAAAAAAACTCATTCCGAGTAAAACACATTTTAAAGTATGACATCATGGTTAAAGTAGTGGCATCTGCTTTTCTTAAAACACTTGTAGCTTTTGTTCTAATGGGTTCGATGAATGTAAAATAATAAGCTTGGTATTTTTATAAAGCTAATAAGAAGGCCCATAAAATAAAATCATACAAAAAATTGCCAATTTTTGCAAAATCACAATTTTAGGGAGTTCGGATACATTAAATCAAGCTCTCTGCTGTGTATTTTCTCGCTTTAATCATTAAGAAAAGATTGATTTTCTTCGTACTAATTACATATTATATACCATCGACTAATTCGTCAAATGAAAAGAAGTTGCCAAAAGCAGCGATTTGCAGCCAATAGTGGAAAACTGTTACCACGCAGGTTCAAACACAACAATATTTTTCTCGTATACAATTATTTGACGAACTTGGTGGACGGTATAATACGTAACTATTTCTTTCTTACTTACTTCCTTCATATGAACAAAGGGAAAAAGTAAAACGAAATATTAGAAAATAGAAATCTAATGCAAATGATATTTACTTGAATTTTTCAACCGTTGTTCAGTTGTTTATTTCTTTCTAAAATTATTAGTAGCAAAACATTTAACCTGTAAATATCCTTATGACACATAAAAATTACGGCACCAAATTTATTCATGTTATTAATTTTTCGCTACTTCGCCTCAGATAAAAAAGCATTTATCTATCTCCCACAGTTATTTCCTTCAAAATAACATTTTCCCCGTTCTTTAAATGTACCTAAATACTGAAAAAAAAAAAGAATTTTTTTAAAAAAAGCTTTTTTGCCGTATAAAAAAGTTTTATTCTTTTCAGAAAATGAGTGTTTAATCATACCAGTTTCCAAAATAAAAGAAACACGTTAAGGTATCCAACCACTTTCGGAACCGTGATTTTGCAAAACGGCATAAATGGATACTTTTCATGATATTTAGAGTCACTTAGATTAGAATACATGTATAAAATGGTTTTAAGGCCATTTTCACAAAAAAAATATTTAAATACAATATTTCGGCAAAAAATTAACTTAGAATAAGCTTTATTCAAAGTGTTTTCCTTTTGTGAAATATGCTTCGATTATAATAATATTTTGTCTGTATATTGCTCAGACCTCTATACAGAGACTCAACTACGATTTTTGAAAAATTCACATTATTTTCAGAGTTACAACCAATTGAAATAATTATCGCTGTTTTTTTTCTTAAAATTTCTCCCCCCCTGTTGTCGTGAAACATGGATAAACCCAGTTCTAAGTTATACATTTCAAAATTCTAGTTGAGCCTCTATACAGAGGTCAGAGCTATATACAGGCAAAATATTATTATATTAGAAGTATTTTTCACAAAAGAAGAATATTTTGAAAATGGGTCATTCTATGTTCATTTTTTGCCAAAATATTGTACTTAAATAATTTTTTACTGTAATACTATTTTTGAAACAATTTAATAATGTAAA